CCGACCCAATCGAGCCGGCCATACTAGTCAAGAATCGGCAGGCGTTGATTATAATATAATTCAGCAAAATGATCGCGTTGTCAGTCACTTGTGTGATGTCGCTCTGCCCTGATTCACGGCCCAGCTCAAGCGAGCAGCTGCTGTCTATTCCTGACTCCTATGGCATACTCGCCAGGAGGCTCTCCGCCCGTCTGTGGTCCAAGCAGAAGAACAGCTGGACATTGGGCAGCGGAATTTCCATTTCGATGGTCATTCAAGGACTCAGAGTGGAAGAATTTATTTTATCGTGTGGAAGTCACTTACTGACAGAAACTCTCATTAGTTATTTTATGGGAGCTTTGCAAACATTTGCACATTCTTTTTCTCTGGGAAGCTAGGGGTGGATTTCTGGAGGCACCATAAACAGGTAGGTAAATTTTTATGGAATGATTTTTGTACGGCACTTCGACAGCAATATAAAAGATTATCAACTCAGAATTTATGAGTAAAGAAGTTGGTTATTTTTTGAAAACAAGGTCGGTGAATCTTTTGTCGCTTTTCACGATTCATTGGCTGCATTAATTGATAAATTTGTACTCAAACTAGGCGAAGAAATTTTATTAGAAATTCACCCTGCAAAATAACCTGTTTATACTGAGATGCGGCACAGAGATTACTGTACCAATCAACAACATCCCAGTTCAGGTGGCCATTTGCGTAGGATTTGAGTACAAATGAGCGAGAAAATTAACACAAACTGACTGCCCATAAGTCTGTCCGACAGGAATTTCTCTCGTTTAAAAACTGTTGCGTTTCGTCGTCAAAATTAATGAAATCTGAGAATACTGAAGTGTTACTCAGGGGGTGAGGTGGAAGAAGAACCAGATTCAGCAGGGGAGTTTGAGAAGTACAGCCATTTAAAAAGCCCATTCCAACTTGACATGCTGGAATGTGAAATGAAGGTACCTGTCTGGGAAAATTGCACCCTGAGGGGATCATTGAGTCTTTTGTTATGGATTGTGTGGCACCACAGGTGCCCAAGCCACAATATTAAAAATTTGTATCCATGTGGAAGTTGGCAGAAAAAACCCGCCGAAGGGGGACATCCCCCAAAAATCGGATGCCCCCGAATTAATAGAACTTAATCAGCAACAATCCGCGTCATCATTACAATCTTCAAATGAAGTATTGATGGGTGGCAATCTCCGTTTTCTCCCATTACAAGGACAAGCTATCTAAATATCTTGAAATACGAAGAAGAATTTTTAATGAACCAAATTCGGTTACGAGTAAGCGTAGTGCAAGGTTGAGAAACTATTATAATGAAATAAAAAGTAGTCGTAGATTAGTAATCTCAAACATATCTTAGCAATCAAAAAGATATGCGCAGTTATGCGAAAGTATCTTTTGAATTTTCAAGAATCAGGCTTACTAGATACTGGCGCAAATATCGTTGCATTGGCGCTACTCTGGCGAATGACTTTTCAAAGAGTCTTGCTTGTTTCAAGTCGCTCAAATCTTTTGTAAAAACTGCAGGTGAATTGTGAAAATCAAGCAGTCATGGGAGTTTTTAGTGTTGGATAAACGCAATATAAAACAATATCAAAGCCCATGAAACTGTACACGTTAACATCCCAAACATTAAACAGATTTAATTCTCAGCCTGCATGACTTTTGGAAAACAATTGCCCTTGCTCCAGATCATTCTATCAGTGCTGTAGAAGCAGACCTCGCTGTTGTTGGCGATGATGTTGTTAAAAGTGTTCAAATTAGGCTGAAACAACGAAATCCCTTTATCGATTATTCTTGAAACAAAAATCGGATGAGTTATCGAAAAAATATGATATAATATATTGGGCTGTCAACCGAAGATAAAATAAAAAGATGTGGTAAAAAGCGAAAAATTTATCATACTAAAGTTTTAACAATCAATCGGAAGGACTGCAACACGGACATTGCACAAGCTCAATATACTTTTTCCTTTCGGGGGCGAAGTATTATAGAAAGTGCGAAGCGCAGCAATAAGGAAAATGTAAAAGCAGCGAAAACAGCAGCAATAATACCAACAACAACCTGCATCAGCAACGAAAACAGCGACGACGACGACAACGGCAAGTTGAATGACATAAAACATCAAGTGACCTTCAACTCTGCGACTGAACCTTAGAAAAAATGAATAATTTTACACTCGAAACACACACTACCACTACCACACACATATTGCGATGCAACTTACAGCATTTTACAATGGGCACGCGGCGCACCGTATTGGTGAGCAGAGCGAAAATAGGAGAGCGAGAGCAAAAGCACGTCGAGACACTCAAGCATGACAGAAAAAAAATAGAAATTTGTAATAGTGCTGCAAGCGCCAAACACACACACACATGCTAACGCAACCGCGCACACACACTTAGGCATAGAGCTGCTATGCCCAAAAAGCAGTCTGTTGAAGAATATGAGCGTGAGAGAGCACCGACTAGCTGGCTAGTGCATGACGTACAGCAACGAAGAGAGCGAGAGAGGCTGAGAGCGCAATCAATTGCAACTAAAACTACGACCACAAACGCAAATACAAATACAGCTAGCGAGTAGTTTCGGACGGCCTATTTAACGTTGCATGTTTATTTTTGGCTCAGGCAACAGAAGCGGGGGCCGAGGCGGAGACGGAGGCAGAGGCAGAGCCAGCAGGCAAAAGCAAACTTGCATTCACTCTCGCTTTAGTTCTTTTTGCTTTTGATTTCTTGTTGTTTTTTGTTTTAGGGCGTTGTACAAGCGGAAGTATGAGAGAACGGGAAGGCGGCAGTGAAGGCGGGTTTTTGCTGTGTCAGCGGATGCATCATGTGACGACGAGTGGCAGTTGCATGAGGAGGGGAATGTTTGAGGACCAGCATGGTATGTGGAATGTCATGCATGCCATTTACACCTGTGTAAATGACACAGGTAGGTCAAAATTTTATTATTTATATTTATTCGTATTATCGTTGGCAAAATGAATAAAAACATTAAATGAAGGAAAGGGATGGACGGGGGAAGAGAAAGAAATTTACGCGAACAAGAAAAAGATTGAAAAACAAGTAAGAAGGCTCCAGTCGAAACTGCTCGACTAGGAGATACCCTGAACCCTCTAAGCTGATATTCTATTCATTCTGCACTTTTATGCACTCATACATACACATGCATCCACACGTACGCATAAGCCTGCGCTCTGCTAACTGCGCAGTAAGCAGCGACTGCGCTTGGGCTGCGCTGCAGTGTGGGCAATATTATGAGGATTTATTTGTTGAATAATTTCTTTTGTAGACATACGATCTGAAACTTTCAGAGCGTAATCATGTGGTGAATATGTGTCTACAATCCAAAGCACAAGTCTCTAGTACCTAAAATGCATTTTTTACAAATTGGGGGAGGAGGCGTGGTATCCAAAATCTGTAAAAAAATCTTTGTATCGATTAACTTAATATACAACGCAAATTTGAAGACTCCAGGTCTAAAAGTGTTCAAATTGGGCTAAAAAAACAATATCAATTTTTCGATTTATCGAAAAAATAAAGCAAACTCGTAATGCGTATGGCACACACGAGTATGCATGCCGAATTTCAGCTCTCTAGCTCTTATAACTTCTGAGATCGACGCACTCATACGGACGGACAGACAGACAGGGCTATATCGACTCAGCTCGTCCCTGATCAAGAATATATATACTTTGTGGGGTCTGCCACGCCTCCTTCTGCCCGTTACATACTTTTTCACAAAACCATTATACCCTGATTTCCCATTTTCAATGGGTTCAGGGTATAAATAGTTGAATAAATGAATAAAATGAACGGTTGGCCAAAGCCAAGTTAAGGAACAGTCAAAGTGTCAACCAGAAGAAGATTTCAGAATATTAAAATATAATCTTGACTAGAATCATTACTGAAATATTGGGACCATTGACAAAGAAACTGTACATACGTTTAGTAATAAATAAATATCCGGATAGCAACTATCCGGGTAAATTTTTTTTTTTTAATTGTTCCTCATAGAAATGGTATTCTTCTAAATATTGGGTTTCAACAGTTCGCCGGTTTATGGCCATTTCGTTCAGTTCAGACAGTTGTCTATGTTTTATGCATACAAGAAGTGAGCCCTTACATAGGGAAGGCAGATTGGTTGGGAAACACCCATAGACCATTAGGATAAGGCTGAATTAAGTTCAACATGCCCATTCAGAAGTTCAAAGTTTTTCAAGTCAAGTGTCGCTGAAATGTGCATCGTCCTTTACCGCTTTACCCTCTTTTTGCTGCCACATCCTTGACCCAAACCACGTTTAATGAGTTGATACGATGAATATCAAATGGAAAACTATAGCGACACAGACTCTATATTTTATATTCAGTACTTCGAAATGATCTAAACGAAAATGTTTACTCAAATATGTAGAACAATATCTTTTATTCACGCGTCCCAAATTCAAACTCTTTTTTTTTAGTTAACTGAAATAAAGAAATGTATGTAAAAAATAGAAACGAAGATAGATAGATAGACATCAGGTCTCAGGCATCATTAGGGATCCAGATATATAAGGTTTTATATGAACCACTTTATAGACAGATGGACGAACAGCAACACAGACATTGCACAAAATGTCCGAGAATGATTGTAAAAATAGACACCGAACCATAGTCAGTTAAGAGAGTCGAGATTAAAATAATAAAGCGGCCCACAAGGAAAAGTCTTCTTCCTGGAAAAGACGCGCCTCTCGACGCTTCGCGTTGAATTGAAAATGATGCAAGTATAAAATCGATAATAAATTTTCACTTGTGCATCTAAAAAGTTTTTGTTGAAAACACATACAAACTAGAGAGAACTAAGTTCGCAAACTGTCTTTTTTTCTCTCTGGTTCCTCCCTCTGTCTCTCTCTCGTTCCTCCCTCTGTCTCTCTCTCTCTATTTTTATGGGAACGGTCTGTTAGCATGTTACCAAATGATGTGCTTTCCAGTTGAACAAAAGTAGTTATATTCTAAAAGGCCCTATGCTTGGTTCTGGGGAGATTGGCAAATGCAGTGAATAAGCAACTGTAGCACGCAACTTGTAATTAAAACCCTGTTTTTTGTTAGTTAAAAAGTCCCACACACTTTTAGAGACTGTGATACATATTACCGAGAATATGCATTGATAATGTTGATCGTGACCTGTAGAACGTTCAATTTTATATCATATTTTATTCTGCTCACCGCGTACAAATTGAACTGGACACTTTCCCCATGCTGAAAAAAAGAAAACAATGAATGTTTGCTATAATACTCAAGGTTAACAAAGTTAATATATAGATAAAAGAAATATGTTCATGTTGTAATATCGTGTGAACTGATATGTATCTCACACATAAAAAGTATAATAATCAAGAATCAACTTTTTTAGTTTTTCAAATATTTTACAATTCTAGCCTGACACTAATCCAGATTAAATACTTCAAATAGTTTTTCGCTTATATTATTGGCAGGAAAGATAAAGCTTTTGTGGCGCTTTGTTGATGACATTATCAGCTTGCTAAAATTGCCGAGCTTGCATAAATTATTAAGTAAAACAGAAAATTTGGGCCGATTCATTGGTCCTGTGGCGCAATGGATAACGCGTCTGACTACGGATCAGAAGATTCCAGGTTCGACTCCTGGCAGAATCGCAACACACCTGATGTTTTTTTACTAACTGGTTTACAGCTAGTAATATATCATATATCTGAATGTGAATAAGCATATATCTATAAATTTAATATTTTTATTTTATTTCTAAAGAATAATGGAAAATATTATTACGAAAGTATTTTTACAATTCTTATCAGTTTTAAACTTCTTTCAAAAGTAATTTTTTGTTAACTATATTTTTAAACTGTGTTCAATGGCCTCCGTGGCGCAATCGGTTAGCGCGTTCGGCTGTTAACCGAAAGGTTGGTGGTTCGAGTCCACCCGGGGGCGATTACTATTTTGGCATTTTATTTTTATTCACTACAAAGCTAAGCCCGATCACACGGTGTAACAAACTTCTCAAGGTCACCCTTATGAAACTCGTGAGACTGCCCGTTTGCAAACTACACAAGTTGTTGAGCCAGTTTTTTATCTTTTCATTTTAGCTCTGGCTCAGATTGAGTACACTTATGTAGTAAAAGTATCTACAGATATGGTGCCAGACTTGTCGATTAATCGTCTGAATAACACGTGTCAACAAGACCCTAGAGGATAAAGTCGTCGCAAATAAGTAGGAAGAACAGAAACTAAATATACAACGGGAGCGACAAAAAATGAGATGAGTGATATCAAATGAGCACACAGGAGTTGTGAACTGATTGAATGAAAATTAGTAAATTAAATATATAAATCTAAAACAGGTTAAGATAAACGTATTTTAAAAATTAACGAGTAAGTAAATTAAAAATATAAAATAATCAAACAAAAAACTCTAGGTACGAAATCCTTCCCATACCGGGAATTGAACCCGGGCCTTCCGGGTGAGAGCCGGATATCCTAACCACTAGACAATATGGGAGATGGTATCACATTGAACAAATTAATATTTGAGTGCCAGAGTTATATAAATAGACAACAGGTGCTAAGAGCAATATAATCTGAAAAATTATTAGAGAGACTTTGATTCGATGCTAAAATTGAGCTAATAGTATTGTTTGCTTAGGAATTTTATATTTATATACATGCCATGCTTTATTTTCATTTTCAAAATCATTTTTGCATTTAACTATAAATATAGCAATGTTTGCTTTTTATTTTATTTGTTGAATTCGTTTAGTTTTTAATTTGCAGTGCATTAACCGCAATTTGCGATGTCTAAACAACAATAAAAAATCCAAGTCCATATAGGAAATCAATGACTATATGCATATATTATATTTGGTATGTCAGCCTATGTATGTGTGCATCTTATTTTAAGGTTAAGTTCAGTCATTCGCCTCGTTTCATATTATTGGCATGGCACAAAAAAAAAAAAAAAAGTTATTTCATACATTTTTGTTTGCTTTTCGTATTTTTGTTGCTGTTGTGTGGCTACTACTTACTATTGCTGCTGTTGTTGTGTATTTGAGCTTAGTGCCGCGTGTTATGCATTCAAATTTATACATTTTCCAAACGTGCTTTTATTTACATTTGTTTTTTGTGCGCGGCGTCTCTTCGCACCGCCAATCAATCGTTCGCTATTGATTCCTCGCATTTTATTCCAATATTCATATTCCCATCAATTTTTTCTGCAATCGTGGGTTTTCTTTTATAAGTGACATCAGCTTTGTTTTCACTGAACAATGCTGTCCCGTTGTAGACGCAAGAATCTGCCTACAAGGTTAAACAAATTAAATAGAGGAAAATAAAGTCGCCCAACGTGGGGCTCGAACCCACGACCCTGAGATTAAGAGTCTCATGCTCTACCGACTGAGCTAGCCGGGCCACGTAAAGATGTCGCGATATTCATTTTAGCTCAGTTTTACACAAATTTAATATATTATTTACTTTACCTTAAAGTGTCCTTAAAAATATATACAAATATTTTCATTTAATTTCTTAAAATACGGTTATTGGAAAATATTTGCATCAGTCTGTATTAGCTTAATGTTGTACGCTCGATGTTTTATAGTATTTATAACACCCACATATGTACATATATTTATCAGAAATTATGTACAAACATCTACATCGGGTTTATTTAATTTTATTACTCGATGCTTTGTGAGTACAGGTGTAACTCTTAGGTAAATCACATTTAATTTGAACGTAACTAATGCATGAATATGTTATTCAAGATTAAATTGGCTTTGTCCACTCACAAACTTACATTAGGTGTCCAACGAAAATTTAAGATTTCGTTGAATTTTATATTTGTAAATAATATATATATGTATATAAATAAATATACATATGCATACCCATATATAGAGTATCAATTAATTCCAAAATTTGCTATTTTCGGAATGGCTGCAAGTGCCCGGCTAGCTCAGTCGGTAGAGCATGAGACTCTTAATCTCAGGGTCGTGGGTTCGAGCCCCACGTTGGGCGATAAACGATATTTTTACTTTCTTAATATTATATTCTCCTTCTTTTTATACCCTGAACCCATTGAAAATGGGAAATCAGGATATAATGGTTTTGTTAAATGTATGTAATAGGCAGAAAGAGACGTGGGGGACCCCATAAAGTATATATATTCTTGATCAGGGCGACGAGCTGAGTTGATTTAGTCCGTCAGTATGTGTGTCCGTCCGTTTGTCCGTATGTATGATCGAGTCGATTTCAGAAGATACAAGAGCTATAGACTTTAATTTTTAATTTTAATTTTTTAAATGTCCGTATATACAGCGTGGATATCGAGTTTCTCACCAAATATCGATAACTCACCTCGTTATTTTTTAACGATAAAATATTTTAAATATTTATTTTAAATATTTGTATCTTCCCCCTCACCTTTAAACTTGTAAAAAGCGCATTTCAAATACTAGAGACTTGTGCTTTAGCAAATGCATGCAATATTATAACCATGATCTAAAAGTTTAATGAAGATAGTCAATCCACAAGAAAAGTTATTAAACAATTAAGTTCTCCTAGTAAGCGCACACTGCAGCCCATGCATATTTATGCGTGGGTGCCTGTGCGTGTATGTGTGTGCGTGTGTTTCTTGTGTAAGCAGAAAGACGCGAAAAATTATTGAAATAGCTGGTGCTCAAAGGGTTCAGGGGATCTCGTAATCGAGCAGTATCCACTAGAGCCTTTTCACTTGTTACACTCATTCACGAAAGTGAATTAGTATATTGGTTTTGTGCAATGTCCGTCTTGCTGTCCGTCCGTCTGTCCGACTGTCTGTTTGTCCGACTGTCCGTCTGTTCGTATGAACGCAGTTTATTTCGGCGTTATTGAAGCTAGAGACTTGAATTTTGGAACACATACTCGTGTTGAAATCGAATCGAAAAATTCCTTTTCCGATATACCAGAAAACATATTAGTTGAACAGCAAGAACGCTGAACTTAACAATGATGCGCGTCGAAAACCGTTATAGCGGAATATCTACGCCCATTGAGGAAGAAGATATATGATGATGATTTTTTAATTAACCTGAAATTTGGTATATATACGCTGGTTGACCACCCAAGTCCAACGAGCTATCTCCACCCAAAGGAGATTAGATCTCCTACAGTTTAAGAGTTAGAAGCTTCAAATTTGGATAGTTAAGTTACTAGTAACCTCCTCTATCGATGACCTAAAAATAACTTTTACGCCTCTTTAGGGGCGTGGCACATTGAAAAATAAAGGTGTCTACGCTCAGTACGATCGTGGCAAAACGGAAAAAACTGAATTTTCTACAATATTTGTGGTAAACTTAGCTACTAAATTGCTGATGGGATGTGAGTGAGTATTCCGCAGTCGGTTACTTGTTTATTTCTATATACATATCTGCAATATAAGTAAGTAGCTTATATTGCCAGTTCCTTAATCAAAAGAGCACTTTTCCCCCAAATGTATTTATCCTTTTCGATTTTATATATGTATATATATATTCTGTATAATCGTAGCTCTATCACAAAATTGTCGAAAAAATACTTCTGATAGTTATAAAATATCTATAAGTATTAATTTATCACTTTTAAGAGTAAAGCAATTACTCTTCCTCGAAAATATTTACACATGATTTGACAATTACAACCTTTATTTGGTTAGAAAGTAGCGCAACCGAAAAGTCGTCTGCCAGGCTGATTAACAGCATGCTGTCTATCTGCTTACGTCTCAGTCCTCATCCTACTTGCAATGCCTGTTTGTCTGCTTCTGCACTCGTTTCGTATTTCTATTGTATCCTTTTGCGCATTCATTCGTTTTAATATTTAATAGCAAATTACATTGCCGACAAGGTGGTGACTGTCGCTCTATGCAGATATCCCCTTTTTATTTAGTTATAACTTTTTGTTCGCTTGCTTTATATATTGCATTGAGGTAGGTACTTAGAGTTATACATAATTTCCATTAGGAAGCAGTACCACCACAATAAAAACGCTTTCAAAAATAATTACAAAACCAAAGCTCAGTACCTGGAGTAGGCGGATAAGGAAGAATACAGCAAATAATCGACACTACAATCTGTGCTTTTAAATGTAGCATTGTCCCGTCTATAGAACTCCGAATCTACAGGGACATGAGGTGTAAGATAACGAGATTCAACATGCCCGGCTAGCTCAGTCGGTAGAGCATGAGACTCTTAATCTCAGGGTCGTGGGTTCGAGCCCCACGTTGGGCGAATTGTAATATTTTTCTATCTATCTAACAGCATTATTTATAAAATAACAAGAATCGGAAAATAGATTTTCAGTAATGTTTCTTTTTTTTTATACAATAAACTACATACAAATTTTAACTATTAAAATAAACTCGTTTAACTTTAACTGTATACCTCAGTATACCTTAGTATACAATTCAAGCTAAAGGAGTTTATTTTATTAACTACAATTTTTATGTAGTTGTTTGTTTATCAAAAAAGGTAGGTAAGAGTTAATTTAAAAAACAAAACTAAGAACTCTTGGCCCATGGGGGGATCGAACCCGCGACCTTCGCGTTATTAGCACGACGCTCTAACCAGCTGAGCTAATGGGCCACACTAATAAATTGTTTCGAGTCCTATTTATGTTAAGTCAATCAGCGAATAACTAAAACTGAATATATATCAATATATTAATATATAGTATAAAAGGATCTATATAAAAAAAGTAATCTGGCCCATGAGGGGATCGAACCCGCGACCTTCGCGTTATTAGCACGACGCTCTAACCAGCTGAGCTAATGGGCCATATTGACGCCATTTTGTTTCCGGATATTTCATAAATGGAAATTCTTAGGTTTCGGTAAAAATAAGCCTTTAAAAAAAAATTAAAAAGTGTTGATACTGGCCCATGGGGGGATCGAACCCGCGGCCTTCGCGTTATTAGCACGACGCTCTAACCAGCTGAGCTAATGGGCCCACGGTCAAACCCTTAAACCAAGAATGACTAAGCTAAATAGCGATAACAAATATATATATTTACTTACCAAATGATCTATAAATAGCTTAAGTTGCCAAATTGAACACAGACCAACAGAAATATTACGATTTCATTTATTGTACACTTTCTCGTCAGATTATCTGAAAATCGTTAATTAATTAATTAATTGACCGCATCGATTGATTTTAAGTCTGGAATGAAAGAGTCACACATTATTATTAACCAAAGCCAAGAAATGCAAACATCAAAATTTGCCTCAATGAAATTCAACGAAAACTAATGAAGAAATAAAAGTAAAAACAGACAAATTTTAAGAAGCATACTGAAAAATATACATATGCCTCGTAGAGATACATACAAGCACACATACATATGAAATCAAGTGAAGTGTGTGTGGAAGTAGAGCCGACGCAATAAATTTTCTGTGGTGTAGGTTAGGGCAAGCAGCGTGAGCGCTTATTCTCTCGCACCCACTAAATACAGCGGCAAGGGAGAAAAAGAGACGGACGAACACAGACAGGCTGGCAGTTGCATGGCCGACTGCACTAGCAGAGTGACGCACACGTTGACTGTGACTGCAGTTGCGGCAGCGACCGAACCAGAGAGCTTCAATAGGCCGATGAAGCGACGCGTCGCTGCAGCTTGCAGTTTTAGAAGAATGAGCGTAGAAACTAGCAGACGGCGCGAAAATAAAGCAGTGTAAAGCAGTTTATGCATGTGTGTGTTTCTGTGTGTGTGTGTGCGCAGCTACGGTCGACGAGGCAACGTGTAAGAAGAGCCGACAGGCTGGCATGGCCCGATGTCAGGGGCATGAAGTTGCAATGAAAACGAAATTGCAAGCGGGAACCTAGACACAGCCCCTTGCACACACACACACACACTTACAGATTAGTATGTATCTGATCTATTTAAGTTTGTGTGTGTGTGTGCGTTATATTTAGTTACTTGTCTCTGGTTCTTACTGCACATGCTATGTGGCAATTTTAGATATGCATCTGTAAAATACATTCGCAAGGCAAACTTCGAGCCCAAGCAGCAGGAAGCAGGCAGCAGCCACAATTTTTTTCTCTCCGTTGCGCTATTTTCGCTTTCAACGAAGCTGCACAGCCCAAAATGGTCGACGCATTTAATTCTTCAGACAAGTTTTTGATTGAGCAGGTTAATGGGGCTATGGAATACGAGCTTTTTAGATACATAGATTCATGAAGACAAAGGACTCTGTTTATTAAGAACTGCATGAGCGATTTTTATCCATATACATTTATATTTGATTTGCACTGTTGTCTTATGAGAAAAAACACCTGCGATTCCCGAAAGATATATATATAAACATATAGATACATATTTCCACATCGCCTAACGTATCCACTTTTTAATTTTTAAATAACAATATTCTTGACATAATTTTATAAGCTCTAGAATTTTTGAAGTGTCCCTAGGTATTAGGGTTCAAACAAGTATTGCTTACCTACATGTATGTATATGTGGAAGGTACGTAAAGTATATCATTAAAAACGAAAAAGACAATAGTAAATGCAATTATATAACTTTTAACTGGTTACAGCCATAAGAATTACATATGGATATGGATATGGATATGCATAAAAACATGTACAAAGATATATTTTAAAATGTTGAATTCTGTACTATTCTGTATTCTATACAAAATGAAAAGTCGTGAAAGTTGAATATTTGTCAAACTTTTAAATATTTGGATGATCAACATAACATTAAATTTCTTAAACTCCAACTTTAAGACAAATCTAAATCACTTTTCTTCTACTTTAATGTATTTTTATATGTACGGTACTCTGACGGTATCCTGATCAGACATACATGTATGTTAGCTGCTGTTATATTCTGGTTAAAAACCATGTCACAAAAAAAATGACAAAAATTTTGTTTAAAAATACTTGAAATTTTTTTAACCTTCAACATTATTTACATAAAAACTAAATAAATACATTATCAACATTATGATGAAATAGAAAATATATATTGTATTGATTTTACATTTAAGCTCGATTTTGTGCAACAAACTTTCTATCTTAGACCTCAAACAAAAATATTATTCGATTCGGATTCAGCATAACTTAAAGAAATTAGAAAATACTTTCTTATAAAAGTTTTGAGTAATTACTTATAGCACGAAAATATAGTTAATTGAATCTATGTATTTGCATGGTCATACATATGTATACAGGAAGTTTTCTGTTAAGGGGCCCTTCTGCTCTTCTTCGGCTTCTGTTGCAGATACAACTGAAATTTGTAAGCTGTGTGTCTGTAATTTCGACTGTAATAATCTTGTAGCGCTTGGGATGTTGGGGTGTACATACAATGCTAGACATTTCGATAGGTTCACGCGGACGCCGCGGGCCGGCTCGTTTGTCGAAAGGGGAAGTCAACAATTCTGCCACAGACTATTTTTATGTGCTACGGCGTTTTATTGTGCGGCGGCTACAACAGCAACAGCAGCAGCAGGCAAAACAAGTCGCCAAACGGGTTAATGACGGCCAGAGAAGCATACTATGGAGATGCCGAATAAAAGAATGACAAGCAGAGAGAGAGAGACAAATGGAAAGAGAGAGAGTAAGATAGAGAAAGAGAGGAGAGAAGCAAAATCGCAAAGGAGCAGAAGCAGCGACAGAGCAATGGCAGCGGCGGCAGCAGGTCGCTTGGCGCTTTTCGCTGCCCATGTGGAGGCCTACAAACACACATACACACATAAAAACACATAACAGCGTGACCGTCTCACAGAGATCCACAGATACACATACACTGTCAAATAAACATATCATAACACACACAAATACGAGGCGCACACACTCACTTGCTTACACACACACTGACACACACACGTGCGCATTCATACATGCATATACACACATGTAAATGGAGAAACGACAGCTAAACAAACAGCAAGAACAACAACGTCGAACGTCGCGACTTTTGCTTTAGCCCTAGCCCCAATCTTTGAGCTTTTTGCTTTACGTTTTTTCGCTTTTACGCGCTATGCCTGCCCACTGTTTTTCGTTCTTGTTCTTGCTCCAACGATTTCGTTTCCATTCGTTTCGTTTCATTTGGTATGGTTTTTGGGCTTTAACATTGCTGCTGCGGCTGAGGCTGCTGCTGCTTGGCAGCTTGACTGAGGCAGAAGCAGACGATGAAAACAAAAAACGTATGTAAAAAAACAGAATAAGCAATATAAAGAAGCGCCAGAAAGCATGTAGAAACGGAAAAAGAAGTAGAGACAGCAGAAGCAGAAGCAGTGGGTGTTGAAGCAGTATGTAAGGAGGGGTAGGCATTAACTGCACTTACCGCACTAACTGCAATCAGTTACGTTTGCGTTTATTTTTCGCATATGCATCAACTATTATTAGGATTTGTTATTGCACTTACACTCACAATAATATTCAGATATACTATGAAAATATATATAAAACTATCTATGTACACGCACTCCTTTCATTTCCTTTTTATTTTATTATTTTGTGTTATAAACAATTTGTGTATGTATATATTTCCGATTTATTAATATTTTGTTGCTCAGAGATTGATATTTGTATTTTATTTATGTTTCGCACTTGCTTACGTCGCGCGCACGTACATCGGCTTTGTGCCCAATATGTCGTATCATTTACTTGCGTTGCTACTGAACTGCACACATTGAGTGCCAATAAGAGACTGAATTGTATGTTTGCTCTTGAGACGACAACAGCAACGGCTGATTCTGTTACTGCTGCAGCAGACGCTCTGACGTCTTTGTGATGACAACAGGATAGAGACAACTAGCCATAGCTATTTACAAATTAGAATAAAATTAACGAAGAAAAATTCAGATAATGCCTTAATAAATGTTATTTACTTATTTTATTTTTGAGGGCTTGGTAAAGATATTAAAAAAGTCTTTTGTGCTCTTTTACAGAATTTTGTCTGTTTAACGCTTGTACTGCTTGTTGTACTGCTTGTCAGACTGCTAATAAAAAGAAATATACACATTTTGCACTGCTTAGGCTGTTAAATGGTTTTCTGGCGCGATAGCACCGTGCGGTCCTGTGGCGCAATGGATAACGCGTCTGACTACGGATCAGAAGATTCCAGGTTCGACTCCTGGCAGGATCGGATTTTTTTGTTTATTCGTTCTTTTTTGTTTTGTTTTTATATTAATTTAATTTTTATGGCACCGTTAAAAAAGATCTTCAATTCAACAATAAACTGCATATGTATGTATGTAGTATATTAATTCATATATACACATATTATATACTTCTAATCATGGAATGAACTGCTTGACAAAATGAGTTTTTGAAAGAAAAGCCACAAGCGGTCCTGTGGCGCAATGGATAACGCGTCTGACTACGGATCAGAAGATTCCAGGTTCGACTCCTGGCAGGATCGATTTTTTTTCCATAATTAATTATGAAAATTGAACAAAGTATAATTTAAAATTTCTCTTAGTATAAGTACAAATGTGTATTTTAGAAATCCGAAAACTAATAAACAGCTTCCATTATTATACGAATTCAATATGTTTTTCTATAGTTAAGAGGTGAATTTTTTTGTATTTTACATAGACAACAGGGAAATTAATTTCATTATCATTATAGAAACAGCTTTAGATTCTGTGGACGTGAATAATTTTAAATAACACAAAATAAATCTTGATTCCCAATTTGAATTTAAATTTATTTATATTGTGATATTGCTCAATAGTAGCAGTGTCTCCCATATGGTCTAGTGGCTAGGATATCTGGCTTTCACCCAGAAGGCCCGGGTTCGATTCCCGGTATGGGAAATGTAACTTTTTTATTTTTTAAGACTTGAATAGGAAATCATTTTTCCAATGCTAGATTTTCATATTTCATATTATTTAAACTATGATTAAAAATAGACATTATTCAGCATAAGCTGCAAATTTAACTCATACATCTAACCAATTGCAATTCTAACAAGTAAGAAAGCTCTAGTCGAGACTGCTCGACTACGAGATCCCCTGAACTGATGTTTCAAAAATTCTGTTTACACAAGAAACAGCTCATGCACACACACAGGCATACGCAGGCACGCATAAGCACGCATTGGCTGCAATGTGGGCTTACTACGGGAACATAATTGCTTAATAACTTTTATTGTGGATGGACTATATCCACGAAACGTTCAGATCATGATAAGAACATTAATATGGGTGCAGTTGACAAAGCTCAAGTTTCTAGTAATTGAAGTACGCCTTTGACAGATTTAATGGTGAGGGGTCAATATAAAAATGGTGGGTGAATTATAACTAAAATCGAAATTCTATAGAGAATATATAAATTTACATTTAAAATTTGGTAACTCTACCTCTAAAGATGTCGCAGATATAAATTTATTACGGATTTGCGATAATGTATTAATCAATAACAAAATAACGGCACACTCTATTTGTAGGTAATATACACGGACCTGGGAAAAAAAAAATAAAGAGTCTTGCTCTTGTATATTTTGAGATCGACGCGTTTAAAAATACTGACAGACGGACAGACACACAGACAGGGATAAATCGACTCAGCTCGCAGCCCTGATCAAGAATATATATACTTTATGGGGTCTCCCACGCCTCCTTCTGCCTGTTACATACATTTAACAAAACCATTATACCCTGGATTTCGCATTTTCAATGCGTTCAGCGTATAATAAATGTGTCGCATATTCTTCGATTACGACTTTCTGGTTTTATGCAAATCCCAAGATATTTGCAGCACACATTTTGCACACCCGTAAGTGCATAAGCATCAAGTCCTTCGAGTAAGAATCATTTGGATGTCACCTTAAACGTCCTTGACGTTGAATTGTGCACACAGCTGGTGTGGCATTTTACCATTTGCAATGCGTCCCGTCCTCATTTCATGACAAACTTTGTACATTTTCCGCTGCTTAGCATAGAGCGACACATAATCCACACGCTCCACACGTCATTTGATTTGCTTTCAGGCAGTGAAAGCTTCAGTTTGTCAATGACAGTTTCTCTGCCTTTGATTGGACAACTTTTATTATATTGCATTCCATATGAAAAATAAAAATGTAAATATAGAAAAGTTAGTAAAATAAATAAAATAAAAATTGGTAAACGCAAAAATTAAATTCGATCCTGCCAGGAGTCGAACCTGGAATCTTCTGATCCGTAGTCAGACGCGTTATCCATTGCGCCACAGGACCGGTGGCAAACAACTGCCAAAAGCTCATGAAGTGATACTAGATGTCGTGTTCAGCTTTTATGTTACAATTATCAGCGGACGATGTGTAATAATATATGTTTATAATAATAAAAAAAAGTTAATTCTATTAATATTATCTAACTATTTATATTTTTATTTTATTTTTTAAGCATTTTCAACAACAAGCCGAGGGCCTAATAGCTAGTTCTTTATTTCTAGATACATAGTTTTAAGTTTATATTGATACGAGCCCCGGCTATAAATAAAGTAAAATAATATTAAGCTAATTGTTGTAGTTGATCGGTTATTAATAAATAAATAACAAAAAAACTCGATCCTGCCAGGAGTCGAACCTGGAATCTTCTGATCCGTAGTCAGACGCGTTATCCATTGCGCCACAGGACCGCATAATACATTTTGGTTTGTACCGCTATAGAAGCAGTGTCGAAATAAAGTAACAAACTGCATTATCGACACATTTGCAATTTTAAAAAGTGTATAAAGCAGTTTAATGACTGCTACAGTGGTCTGACACATCTATGGGAAACTGCTTGCAAAATAAATTTGTCTTCTTCTTTAGTGTGAAACATTTGACGGTATAATAGACTTATTATAGTTTTGACGAATGTGAACATGTATCCCATATTGTCTAGTGGTTAGGATATCCGGCTCTCACCCGGAAGGCCCGGGTTCAATTCCCGGTATGGGAAGAAGTTATCAATAAAAAAAATATTTTTTTTTTATTAAAAAATGTAATTTGATTTTATTATAAAAGGAATGAATATTAATTTCTTTTTGAAAGCAAAACGCAGCAAAAGTGCAAAGCGGAGAGGAAATATTTTGTCTCATTATTAAATTTGAGCAATACTTGCTTGCCAAGTCACAAAGTCTTATATTTAACAAACCCGAACACTGTCGCTTGAAGCTTCTAGAGACGTTAACATGTCATTCGAATTTTTGCATCTGATCGCATGTTAGCGATCGTATATTATGCCTGGAATGACTTGTTTTCAGTTACTGGAAGAAATTAGGTGTAAAATATATCCAACCATCTCCCCTTTTTTGGCAATGCTTGTAGTTTGTTGAAAGCCCGGGCCTCGATTTTCGAGCAGGTTATGTTGCTGCATAATGCTAAAGGATTTGAGATCCCTTAACTGGAGTCTAAATTCTGGACCGGACTGCACAGCTGCTCAAACACCTTAATCTGATCAAAACTATGATGATCAAGAAGTGTAACCACTTCACAAATCGTGCACTACAAACCGATCCACGGAATGCTCCATTGAGCTACAAACATTTAATCTGATCATCGTAGGTAATGAATGGAAGGAGCGGTGCACTAAAATTTCTTCTGTTGGCGGTGAGGCGATACGTGTGTGATAATGAACTTATTTTATAATTTTCAATTCAATTTTACAACTACGCAGATTGGCAAACATCTGGAAAGCTATTTGGAAAGATTACCAGCAGATGTTATTATGAGCATTAAGAATATATGCACATTTTTAACCACAGATCTTATAGCGACGACAGCATTTCACTTGAATGCCACTTCGCATCAGGACATGAATAGTGAATTTTATAAATACAAGAAAGGTATCTTTGATATTTCTATATGTCCGTATATTTGAACGCTTCGATCTCAGAAGATATAAGAGCTAGAGACTTGAAATTTTTTCCTAAGTCCGTGTATAGCACGCGCATATCGAGTTTTGTGAGAGAGAGGCTGCAGTGGTGGCTTACTATGGGAACTTAATTGTTCAATCATTTTTTTGTGGGTGTACTTTTTTTCATGAAACTTTCAGATTATGATTATAGCAAGGATATGCATGCATTTGTCAAAGCACAAGTCTCTAGTATTTCAAATACGCCTCTTACAAAGGTGTGGGTGAGGGGGTGGATATAGGGGTACCCCCCGTAAATTTTAACAAAAATCGAAATTGTATATTATAAAATGCATATAAGTATACACGAATACACGCTTCCTTCTGCCTGTCACATACATTTCAACAAAACCATTGTACCCTGATTTCCCATTTTCAATGCGTTCAGGGTATAACGATAAGTGTACATCGAAACTTATCTTATCTCTAGCTCTTATCTCTACTCGAATATTACTTAATCAATCAAATCTGCTCAATAGCAGGACAACAAATTGGGATTTACTTTAACTTAACTTCGATTCAGCCTTGTTCCTCAGAGCAACTCGTGCATGACTTGTCAAGGATGTCCCATGGTCAATTATCGTTCAGCCAAGCTGCTGGGCAAGCGTGCCATAATGGAAGGGAGGAATGGGGCAGGGAATGAT